GAATTAACCATGTGTGCCACCACATCCTGCTGCGTTTTTGGTTTTTGAGGCAGTCTTACATTTATGTAGTGATCCTTCTGCCTCTATTTACTAAGTGCTGGAACTAAATGAAAACTTCTGAAAGAAAAGGTAGAATCAACATGAATTTTTATGGCTGGTTATGGTGCCACAAGCCTTTAATCCTAGGCTCTCCAGAGGAGGGGAAATTTTTGAATTTGAAGCCAATCTTGTCTACACAAGTGAATTCCAGGCCAGCTAGGGCTACACAGTAAGATACTGTCTTGAGAAGAGGTGGGAGGAAGAGGAAGAGTCAAGAGGAGAAAAACGGGAAGAGGGAAAGAGTAAGAATGAGAATGAGAATGAATCTTAGGGCTGTGGCTGTGATGGGGCCAAGGTTCCTGTCCTATCCCCACTGCAGCCATCTAAGGCATGATTTAGAATTGATCATCCTCCCTCCCTCCACCCTTCCACTTATATTCCCCTAACTATGGGAAAAATCCCTTAGAGAATGATGTCTTTATCAGAGCTACATAGTGACATCCTGACTCAAGAAAACAAGATTAACTGAGGCCAAGATGCTCCAGCGAACTGCTGCTTTTCATTTCCATTAAACTGCCTGCTTGCCAGGAGGTGGTGGTGCACACGTTTAATCCCAGCAGCAGCCGGTGGATCTGAGTTCAAGGTCAGCCTGGTCTATAGAGTGAGTTCCAAGACAGCCGGGGCTATACAGAGAAACACACTCTCAAAAAGACAAAACAAAACATATAAGTCAAATCAATTCATGTTGAAGTACAGGTTGATGATGAGCCTGTAAGGCTCATATTTTAGCAACAGACTTGATTCTACCTTTAATGTCAGTAGCCAACTTCAAATGCAGAGGCCAACTGTGATGCCAAGGAGCAGTATAAAGCAGAGGCCCAGCTATGACCATTAAAGGGTGTAAGTCATGGGGACCAAGAGAAAAGATACTGAACCAACTGGAGGCCTCAGTTCACTCCTTTGCCCTTGTATCTAAGTTTTTCTGAATCATATCTAATGTTTTCAATGTAACTCCTGAGTTACTGACACAGACAGTTTTTACTTACGATAGCACAGAAATGACTTTCCTTCAAGAGTAACAAATCCAGTCCTCGATGGTTCTGTAAAACCATTTCTGCTGGAGAAACTACTTGTTTTCCATGCTGTCTATGACTTGGTCTACTTTATTCCTTAGTGTTTGAAAACTCTGGTCTTCAGTAACTAAGGCTGATGCCACCTACCTGTGACTCTAGATTCATGAGGAGGGGTTAACTATAGCTGCGACTGATATTCTCTTTTTTTCTAACAAGGCCATAATGAGCCTCAGAATGGAAATGTCCTTCATAAGCAGGACATAACCAATTGTTTTATACCCAATTTAAAAAATTTTTATAAATTTTATAAAAAGTTTTATACCAAATTTAAATTTTCTAGTAGGGTAGTAGTTAATAGAGAGATTGACCTCTAGCCCATATAATGGGTTGGCCTGGGACATAGACAAAGCTAACAATCTCTTCCCAGGCTGGGGTGTGTATAATTTGTCCAGTTATGCAGTAACTTCAAGGTCTTGAGCTCAGGGACGTCATCAGGGGATATAGGGGATATAAGTCCATAATGCAGTAGGGTTGAGGCTGACTCTGTTACTGTAGCCTCTTGATTGTGACTGTGGGTGGAGTGGCCTGAGAAGGGGTGACAGAGAAATGAGATACTCTAATCCCTGGTTGAGGCTGCCAGTTCATTTTAAGACCTACAGGATTGGCTAGGTAGGATGGTAACCTTTTCTGAATAGTGAATTGTACACCGGGACTGTTTCCATAATTCTTAAATTTAAGCACAAATCCCCAGGTCTGACCTGCAAGCCAGGTATTTGGAGCTCAATTCATTCCAGGCCATGATCTTTAAAGTGAAGGGGTTGCAGGTCCCAGGTTTACAATCCCGAGAAGGATACACTCGTTGAATGGAGATGAATGGGTTTTTATGTCCACCCTGGTCAGACTCAGTCTCACAGCCTGGGATGAAGCAATGATAATCTCTTTTGCATTTATGACAATGTGTAGGCCCATCGGCTGGGCATGCATAAAATGGTGAAGATCAGAAGGATATTTCCAGCATTTTGGTCTCACACCCCGAGTGAACTGGACTATAACTTTCCCATTCAGCCATAACTTCATTGTTATCAAAGAAATCACACAGGTTGAATCTAAACACAGGTTGAGAGGTGGCATTCCAGAAAATGCCTATTATTTTCCTATCTGCAGTTTGAGACAGTTCCCAATCCCATACTTTTAGTTGGCTATATATAAGAGTTACCTACCAAGATGCCCAATATTAGTGTCAGTCTAAGTTCAAGATGCAGGTCAGCTACACCTTTAGAGGGCAATGAAAAGTTTGCATTACCCTCCATTCGTCACCTTCCCCTGGCTGGTTGTGTCTACCTTTACATGGGATTGGTGGATCCAAACTGCAGTCCCACTACCTTGATGGCCTTTGGATCTGAAAGACCTTAATTTCTAGGGTCCAGGGAAGGGTCCCCCAGACCCACTAAGCCACACCAATAGTCAGCAAGAGGATTTTTTATTGTTGAAGGCACCAACAGGTGACCCAGTACTCCCGTGAGATTGAGCCCCCCCCATTTATATTTCAGCAAGCATTTATAGGGTCTCAAGATTACATAATGGGGAAGCATAGCAACAGCAACATCAATTCAAATTAACATATGGGGTGGGTCAACATCAGGACAAAACTACAAGTCTAGATTAAGCCAGTTTCAGCCAGTTCCTGCCCCCTTGGGTTTCAATAGATTACACAAAGGACTGGGTGTTTTTCCTTTATGGCAGGTACAACCGGTCTCATGACTGCTTTTGCTGCCCACAGATACCTGTTTTGCCCTGGCCTAGTTGATCATAAAAACATCTTAAGTTGGAGACTAGGGTTGGGGTCTTCCATTTCCCCACTTATTCTTTATCATGGATTAAATCTTTATATCCACTGGTCCTGATCCTTAGCTAGATTAGACTCCGAATCTGTTTGTCTCAGCATTTGATGTTGCTGGGCCAGAACCATAGCTTGCATTACCGATAATCTGTCCTTTATAAACTGTACTAACCTGTTTAGGATGCAGGGGCCAAAAATCAAAATAAGCAATAATATGATTAGGGGTCCAGTCAAGGTGGATATTAGCGTAGTTAACCAGGGTGAATTATTAAACCATCCTTCAAACCATCCTTGTTGTGACTCAAAATATTTTTTTTTGGGGCAAGCCTTTCTCTAAGTTTGGCCATGGATTCCCTGACCACTCCAGTGATATATAGAAACAGCATTCTTCTTTCAGCGCAGCACATAGCCTCCCTTCTTTGAGAAGTAGTAAATCTAACCCCCTTCTGTTCTGCAGTATTACTTCCGATAAGGAGGTGATGGATTTTTCTAAGGCTGCTACTGATTTTTCTAGGGATTCTAGGTCCGCAGCCATGGCTGCTTGCAAATGGACCGTTTGATTACTCTGTACCATAGCTGCAGTCCCTGTCCCAATACCAGCTGCTCTGCCACCAGTGCCAAGAAGGATGGCTAATGTCATGGTGATAGGCTCCCTTTTGTACCTACGTTTTTCCTCAAAAAGAGCCAGAATATTTTCAGATGTATGATACGTAATATGGGGTAAGACTTGGACCATGACACAATAATCAGAAGACGTATTTAAAATTCGTGCAGAGATGGCAGGGAGTCAGCCCAGTGTTACATGCCCATTAAGTTCCATTAGGGGCCTGAAGATAATAATTGCCTTTGTGGACCTCATGGGTCGAATTGCACAATTTCTGGTGTGTGGATGGCACTTTCCCTAGGCAGGTACCTTGGCCTTCTACTTGGGGTAATGTCAACTGGTGGGGCAACGTGCTGGCGCGGTTGGTGGAATTACTAAGGATGGCAATTCCTTCATAGTAAGGCGGGCTGGACACCAAACAAAGCCAACAGTCCTCAGTTCTGTTGGGCTGTGTGTTATTTAAAGCTGAGAAAGCACTCTTGATTAGATCAAACAACCGGTTCTCGGTGATATTGGGGGTGATACCCATCTGTGTGAGTGGTCCTCCCTGTTGAGGGAGGACGCTATTAGGCTCTATCGCTTGAACATTTATTGATTGTGATTCTAATCTAATTTGAAAGGTCAACCCTTTGTCCCATCTGGTTATATAGAATCTAAGCCCCCAGGTATGGCCTGTTCCCCAATCAGTGTCCTTTTGGCCAGTCTGGGTAAAGCAAATGGTAAGATTTGAATTATTGGAGGCATTTCTTTTAACTGTAATTAGGTCCCATGATGAGGAAGGTTTCCAATATACATCCCCTGTGGTCTCGCAAGACCAAGCCTTACAGTAAAAGTCCTCAGATCCGCCACATTTATTAGCCCCACCCCCATCTCGACCATCCCTGGGGCATACATAAAATGGATCTGTTTGAAGGTTATATTTAACTAATGGGTGTCTACATCCTATATCAGCTCCAGGGGGAGTTTTTCCTTTGATTTCTCCAGTTGAGAGATCCCAGGAGTCTAATTTGGAGACCAGTTTATATAGATCAGGATGCAGGCTGGGCCACCAGGTATTAGGAGTATGCACCCCAGTTATGGACCAAATTATGTCCCCTGTCTGAGATATGACCTGCCAAGTTAGATTTCGAGTGAGATAGGGACTCTCATTAGCCTCAACCAAGAGGCCAGTCAATAGGAGTGAAAAGGTCAGATATACAAAGGTTGCAATTAACAGCGAACAAGTCTTATCTTTAGGGGGTTTTGAGAGCATTGAAGTTTCCATGAGGATTTCGAGTCTGGGGTGCCAGTGAAATGCTCTGGTAGGGCTGCTTTAATGTGCGAGGCATGGATCCAGGCAGCAATTCCGTCCACCTTTAGGGTTGTTGGGGTCGTGAGAAAAACAATGTATGGTTCCTTCCACTAAGGCTCCAAAGTCTTGGTCTGATGGCATCAGACCCAAACGCTATTGCCTATTTTGAAGAGGTGTGGGACGACAGGAGACTGGTCTGAGTTCTTATAGGCTGCCACTAAGGACTTCCAGATCTCCTGCTGTACCAGCTGGAGAGCTTGCAAGTGAGCCTGCAAAGTGGGGGAGGTTGCATAATTAGCAATATCAGAATCAAAAATGGCTATATAACTGGAGGTGGACCCCCATATAAAATTTCAAAAGGAGTTAATCCATGTGGGCCGGGGGGGGGGGGGAGGTTCCTGGTTCGATACAATGCCAGGGGTAGGAGCTGTACCCAGTCCCTAGCGCCAGTCTTGAGCATTAATTTAGTTAAAACCTCCTAAATTGTTCTATTCATTCTTTCTACCTGTCCTGAGCTCTGGGGTCTATAGGCACGATGCAATTTTCAATCAATCCCCAGTAACTTGGCCACTAACTGACCATTACCAGTCCCAAGTACCTTGGTAATCCATACTGTGGGAAGATTTCTTCCAAGAGCTTCTGTGCAGTTTCCTCTTTGGTAGGAAAAGCTTCAACCCATCCTGAAAAGGTGTCTATAAAAACTAACAGATACCAATAACCATACATGCCAGGTTTAACTTCAGTAAAATCTATTTCCCAATGGATCCCAGGCCTATGCCCCGAGTCTGAGTCCAGGTGGCCTGTTTGTTTTGCTAGCATTCACTTGGGCACAAGCTTTACAATTGCTGATGATTTGCTGTATCAGGGTCTCTTTCTTGGGTATATAGCTACCCATTTCCTGTCTGCTGAGCAGGGTGTTCATCTTTTTGGTGCTCAGGTGGGTCAATTTATGCAAGTAGGAAATGAGCTCTCTGGCTACATGTACAGGCATTACAGTCTTTCCTTGGAACATCCATTGTCTCTTATGATCATGGTCTGCCTCCAATTTCTGGACTATATCCAGATCTTCATCGATATAGTCAATTGAGTCCAGGTCTCTTTCCGGGTCTTCCTGTTCAGTCAATACTGTTACCGTCAAGAGCTGGGGGCCTAGGGCCGCCTGCTTGGCAATTGCATCTGCCGGGCATTTTCCTTTAATTATCTCAGTCTCCCCTTTCTGATGTCCAGGGCAATGTATAATGCTTAATCTCTTAGGGAGAAATAAGGCTTTAAGCAGGGCTAAGATTTCAGCCTTATTTTTAATATCCTTTCCTTCTGAAGTTAGAAGACCCCTCCTCTGATATATTTCCCCATGAACATGAGTGGTGGCAAAAGCATAGCGGCTATCAGTATAGACACTGAGTGCCTTACCTTCTGCCAGCTGTAGGGCTTGGGTGAGTGCGATGAGCTCCGCCCACTGAGCTGAAGTTCTGGGTGGCAGGGCGCTGGCTCAGATTACCTGCTTTCCATCCACTATTGCTGCTCTGGCCTTTCTTTCTCCGTTGAGCAGGTAACTGCTTCCTTCGGTGTACCAGGTCAATTCAGCCCCTTTCAGGGGTTGGTCCGTCACGTCCGGCCAGGTTCCATGCATTTCCACAAGGATTCGTTGGCAGTCATGAGGGGTTGGCCCCTCCGGAGTGAGGAGCAACGTGGCAGGATTCAGAATGACTGTTGGGCTGAAGTGGACCCTGTCCGCATCCAGCAGGAGTGACTGATAATGAGTCATTCAGGCATTGGAGAGCCAGCGGTTTGGTGGCTGGCGAATGAGTGTCTCAACCGCATGAGGGACTAAAATGGTGAGAGGCTGACCCAAGGTCAACTTTCCAGCATCTTTTATGAGCATAACTATGGCAGCTGTCATCCTCAAACAAGGGGGCCATCCTGAGGCCACCGGATGCAGTTTCTTAGAGAGGTAGGCTATAGGCCTCCTCCAGGGCCCCAGTTTTTGAGTGAGGATCCCCTTTGCAAACCCATGGTTTTCGTCTATGAAAAGTTCAAAGGGCTTGGTAACATCCGGCAGTCCCAGGGTTGGGGCAGAAAGCAAGGACCTTTTAATGGTATCAAAGGCTCGCTGATGTTCCTCAGTCCAATCAAAAGGGGCTTTATTTTTGGTTAGAGGGTACAAGGGGGTTGCAATTTCTCTGAAGCCTGGAATCAAAAGTCTGCTGAACCCCACAGTACCTAGGAATTCTTGGAGTTGCCTGGCATTTTTAGGGGGCGGGATGTGAGCAATAGTCTCTTTTCTGGCTTCTGTGAGCCATCTCTGTCCATTCTCTAACTGATAGCCCAAGTAAGTCACTTTGGTCCCACATATTTGCGCCTTTTTGGCCGAGACCCGATAGCCCAATTCGCCCAAGGTCTGCAGGAGGGCCCGTGTACCTCGCATGCATCCCTCCTTGGTTGTGGCCGCCAGGAGCAGGTCATCCACATATTGGAGCAAGATCAGGTCTGGGTGTTGTTTTTGGAAGATGGCCAGATCTTGATGGAAGGCCTAGTTAAATAGGGTAGGGCTGTTCTTGAAGCCCTGGGGTAGTCTGGTCCAAGTCAGTTGTCCCGAGAGCCCCTCTTTTGGGTCCTTCCATTCAAAGGCAAACAAGGGCTGGCTTTGGGAGCTCAGCCTTAGGCAAAAGAATGCATCTTTCAAATCTAAGAGGGTATACCAAGAGTGGGTTGGAGGCAATGTGCTTAGCAAGTTATATGGGTTGGGCACTGTCAGGTGTATGTCCTGTACCCATTTGTTAACTTCCCTTAGGTCCTGCACTGGATGGTCCGGTGCCAGGCTTTTTCACAGGGAGTAGATGGGTATTCCATGGAGACCGGCAGGGGGTTAATATTCCCTGATCTAAGAGTCTCTTGATGTGGGGTTTGATCCCCTGGTATGCCTCCTGAGACATGGGATACTGCTTGATGGAGACTAGGGTGGCAGTGGCCTTCAGGGGTATCATCAATGGTGGCTGCTGAGTGGCTAGCCCCATGCCCCCTGTCTCCGCCCATGCCTGGGGATAATCTTCAATCCAGCGAACCTCCATATTTCCCAGGGTTGATTTTTCAAATAGCTTATATTCATCAAGTCTCAAGGTTAATATATGGAGGGGCTCACCTTTCAGTCCGGATATCGTGGCCCTTTCTTTTTCAGAATGAATTTGAGCCCTCATCTTTGTAAGCAGATCCCTTCCCAGCAGAGAATAGGGACAATCAGGTACATGGAGGAAGGAATAGGTCACCTTACCTGTCACCAAGAGCATTTTCCTTTCAGTGGTCCAACGGTATTGTTTCCCTCCAGTGGACCCAAGTTGTTCAGCTGCTCAATGGGCAATCTGCTCTAGTTAGGACTGAATGTTGGGCTCCAGTGTCTACTAGGAAGGTGACTGGTTGCCCCACTACTTGCAGGGTTATCTGGGGATGGGGGTGGGGGTGCTCCTGGCCCTGACTGGCCTGGTCTTCATCTAGAGCTAGCAACTGGGCTGGCTGCTTCCTGGGATTTCTGGGTCTCTTAGGACAGTCTTTGACACAATGTCCTTTCTCTTTGCAGTAGGCACATTGGTCCTTGTCTACCCATGGCCTCCTTCTGTCTCCCATCCTATCTGATCTCCCTGCTTCTGGCTTAGTCTGGTTAGCTACAGTGGCCAAGATCTTGCTTAATTCCCTAGCTCGTTTCTTTCCCTCTTCTTTATCTTCTATTTCTTTTCTAAGTCTATCTTCCCTTTCTTCCTGCAGCCTACATAATCTTTCTTCTTTTTCTTCTGGAGTCTCCCTCTTATTAAATATCTTTTCTGCCTCTTTCATGAGGTCCTGAAGGGTGTAATCCTGCAGTCCTTCCAGCCTCTGTAACTTATTTCTATTGTCTGGAGCAGACTGCCAAATGAAAGCCATGGAAACATTGCCCCGCTGGTCTGGACTCATGGGATCATAGGGAGTGTACATACAGTAGTTCTTCCATCAGCCGCTCTAGGAAGGCAGCTGGCATTTCCTCTGAACCCTGTGTGACTGCTCTTACCTGGGCCAAATTGGTAGGTCAGCGCCCGGCGCCTCGGAGGCCCACAGTGAGGAGCTGGCGATAGAGACAGAGACACTCCCTACCTGCATTGGTGTTAAAGTCCCAATCTGGGTGATTGAGAGGGAAATAATGTCCATTAATAACTATATTAGCTGTCTCTGAGCTGGTGGGAAAGGCTTCTTACCCATTCTGAAAAAGTATCTATAAAAACTAGCAAATACCAGGGTTGAAGTTAAGAGCACTGACTGCTTCTTTCAGAGGTCTGGAGTTCAATTCTCAGCAACCACATGGTGCTCACAACCACCTGGATTGCAATCTGGTGCCATCTTCTGGCCTGCAGGGACACATGCAGGTAGAACACTGTATACACACTAAATAAATACATCTAAAAAAAAAATAACTAGCAAATACCAGAAGGCAAACTTCATCAGAGCAATTTCAGTAAAGTCCAATTCCCAATGTTTACCAGGTTAAGTTCCCTTTTGCAAACACCCACCATAGTTACAGGTGCTGGTTTTCCTTTTCTCACAATCACCTGGGTGCAGTGCTGGAGAGATGGCTCAGTGGTTAAGAGCACAGGCTGCTCTTCCAGAGGTCCTGAGTTCAATTCCCAGCAACCACATGGTGGCTCACAACCATCTTTAATGAGACCTGGCTCTGCCTTCTGGCACGCAGGCATACATGGAGGCAGAATGTTGTATACATAATAAAAATAAATAAATCTTAAAAAAAAAATCACCTAGGTGCAGCCAGCACAGTGGCAGGAAGTGTATGTCAAATAAACCCTTTCCTGCCCAAGTTGCTTTGGTCATGGTGTTTCATCAAGGCAACAGTGACCTTGACCAAACACTTTGTTCACCTTACTTTGTCCCAAGTTGTAAATTACCAAGGGAAGAAGGTGCAATTCAGTCCTAGTGATTTAAAGATGAGGTCACCACCTTTGATGGAGGAGGGTCATCTGCCTATGTGTTACTTTCATTGGTTAATAAAGAGACTGCCTTGGCCTTTTTGATAGGCCAGCCCTTAGATGGGTGGAGTAGACAGCACAGAATGCTGGGAGGAAGAAAGCAGTGAGGCAGTCGCCATGATTCTCCTCGCTGAGACAGACGCAGGTTAGGATCTTTCCCGGTAAGCCACCACCTTGTGGTGCTACACAGATTACTAAATATGGGTTAAAGCAAGATGTGAGAATTAGTCAATAAGAGGCTGAAACTAATGGGCCAGGCAGCGTTTAAAAGAATACAGTTTCCGTGTAATTATTTCAGGTAAAGCTAGCCGGGCGGGCGGTGGGAAGCGGCCCGCCGTTCCTTTAACACACCTTAAAAACATTTGTTCTGGGTATGGTAGTGAATGCACCCAGCACCCAGGAGGAAAAGGCAAGATGATCTCTGTGAATCCAGCTTGGCCTACAGAATGTGTTCCAGGGAAGTCAAGGCTATTAAAAAAGAGACTATCGGGCTGGAGAGATGGCTCAGAGGTTAAGAACATTGACTGTTCTTCCAGAGGTCCTGAGTTCAATTCCCAGCAACCACATGGGGGTTTACAACCATCTGTAATGAGGTCTTGTGCCCTCTTCTGGCCTGCAGGCAGAAATACAGGCAGAACAGTGTATCCATAATAATAATAAAAAAAGAATATGACAAATATATATATATATATATATTTTATATATATTTATATGTATTTGGGAACTGTCTCCATGCCCCCCAAAAGAAAACCTACTTCAATAAATGCTACCAACATGACTCAGTGGTTATAATGTTTGCTTTGTTTGTGTTTGGATCTTAGTACCCATGGTTAAGAAGCCAGGCATGGCAGTGCTTGCCTATAACTCTAGAGCTGAGGAAATGAGAAGGTAGATCCCAAGGGTCAGCAAACTCCAGGTTAGTTAGATTGTCTCAAAAAATAAGGCAGAGAAGCAACTGAGGAAGATATCTGTCTTTATTTTCTATTGCTATGATAAAACACTGGTCAAAAATAATTGAGGCAGGGTTAATTTCATATTACACCTCTCAGGTTACACTCCATCACTGAGGCAAATGAGGGCAAGAACTGGGGCAGAAACCATGGAGAAACACTGCTTATTGGCTTGTTCCTCTTGCCTTCTTATACAATCTAGACCCATCTGCCCAAGGGTGGTACAGCCCATAGTGGGTTAAGTCCACCCACATCATTAATCAAGAAAATGACTTCCTACAGGCTAATTTGATTGGAGGTATTTTCTCAATTGAGGTTTCTTCTTCCCAAATGACTCCAACTTGTATCAAATTGAAAACTATGAAACTATCTTAGTCAACGTGCAGTGTCTTACTAATGTCCCTCAGTAAAGGCACACCATGACCAAAACATCCAACTGGTGCTGGCTTACAATTCAGAGGGTTAGTCCACGGTCAGCATAGCAGGAGCGTGGCGGCATGTAGTCATACATGGTGCTGGAGAAGTAGGGGAGAAGTCTACATCCAAATCCGCAGGCAGCAGGAGCAGAGAGATCCTGGGCCTAGCTTGAGTTTTTGAAACCTCAAAGCCCACCCCAGTGACATACTTCCTCCAACAAGGCCAAACTTCCCAATCCTTTCAAAGAGTGCCACGCCCTGATGACCAGTCTTTCAAATCTATAGGAACCATTCCCAAACTACCACACTAATCAGTACAGCATCCAAAGTCAGTCTCCCCAGATATCGCCTCACATCTGGAAGATGACTCATTCTTAAACTGGGTCTCCCCACCATTTTCTTCTCTCTCTATTTTCTTTTCCTTTTTTCTTTCTTTTTTTTTTGTTTTTTGTTTTTGTTTGTTTGTTTGTTTTTCAAGTGCTAGGATTAAAGGCATGTGCTATCACCACCTGGCTGTTTGTTTCTTGGCTCTTTTTTCCTCCTAATCCACAATTACAGATTTCTTTAAGGTTGTTTTCGCTCTGTACTTCTTGCAATCTCACCTATTTACAGAGATGTCACCATCCCTATGAAGAAGACCTCTAAATTTTTTTTTTTTTCAGAAACATTTTTTCCACATCCCAGAATTACTTATAGCACTGGAAATTTAAACTTGAAATACTGAATAAGAATATTTTTAAAATTAGTTTTATTGCATTTTCTTATGTGTGTGAATTCAAGTGGGCATACCTCTGTCATGGCTCATGTGCCAGAGCTCACATCTGGCAATCAGAAGACAATGTGCAGGAATCTGATTTCTCCTTTTATGATGTGGGTTCTCTGGGTCAATCAACTGACGCTTGATGGCAGGGTTAATTTCATATTACACCTCTCAGGTTATACTCCATCTGCTGAGTCATTTCACCAGCCCAAAAGAACACACTCCGATGGCCTCTTAATCTGTTCCTTTTTCTTCCATTTTCAAATTTTATCAATACCACACATTTGTCAAGTAATTCAGGCTCAGGAATTTGGAGAATCTAGGTTTTCACATATCTCCAAGATTTTATTTTATTTTGAGACAGGGTTTTGTGTGGCTCAGATTGGCCTTGAACATTCCGGGTAACTGAAGCTCACCTTGAAATTCCTAATTCCGTAATTCCAAGTACTGGTATTAGGAATGTGAGCCACCAAACCCACAGAGACAACTATCACTCATCACATTCAGAGATGAAGAGAAAAGAGCTAAAGATAATTCTCATGTTTCTCTTAGCTGTACCCAATAACTGAGAAGGAAATACAAGAAGAGAAGCAGGTTAAGGGATGGTAATGAGTTGTGTAAGAATTGGTGAATGTGTGGTGTGAAAATTCAAAGTTACAAAGTTGAATATGTGGGTGGGTTTAAAGCCAAGAGGACTATAAATTTCTATCAAATACGTACTGATAGAGAACAAATCACTCTAGTTTGATAGCTAAAATTAGCATAAGCTTACTCAGTTTTTGTGAGAAAGCTGGAACAGCACATCCGGATGGTTCTGATTGGAGTTTCTCATGTGCCCACATAGAAGGTTCCACTTCCTACTTCATGTGTATGATTACTAGCTGGTTGTCAAAGCAGCTTCACAACATGGCACCTTGGCTTCCTCTCTGGCCTAGAATTCACCGCAATCCTCCTGCCTTAGGCCTCTAAGTAGTGGTATAACAAGTACCATGCCAGACTTGGCATCCTATCACCTTCTTAATACTGTATTAGAAAGAACCCAGTCACTAAATCAGTCCACACTAAAAGGTGTGTGTTGATGTTTCATGACATGGGAGTAGGAATATCAGTTTCAGCTCTTTCACCTTGCAATATCATACTAGATTAACTTTACTAAAGCACATTATTAGCATTAGTATTCTTATGATTTCTCTCAAGTGTGACCATAGTTTAACAACTAGCTACTCTGTCAGTTTTTAAAGCCTATATTCCACCCCTCCATTTTGCAATTCTCTGGCTTTAGTCATTTACCATTTCCAAACACCTCCAGGATCTATCATCTGAATTCATGCCATTTCCTCAGCCCAAAAGTCTGGTGCTTGGGGCTGGAGAGATTGTTCAGCAGCTAAGAGCATTGGCTGCTCTTCCAGGCCTGGGTTTGTTTCCCATCAATCACATGGTGGTTTACAGCCAACTGTAATTCCAGTTCTAGAAGGATCAACACCCTTTTCTGGCCTCCACCAGCACTGCACACATGTGGTGCACAGACACACATGCAAGCAAAACACCCATACACATAAAATAAAAATAAAACTCTTTAAAAAGTTCTAAAATAGACGAGAAGTAGGTGCCAATGACTTTTTCCAAAATGTTTAGTACAAGTTGACTTAAGACAAGATCCTTATTAGACACTAGCAGAAGAGCGTTATTCTTTCATAGAATGGGCGCTTTTGGAAAACAAATGGCGACGGGTAACATTCTACTTCATTTCTTCAGGTCTCGAAAAGACTGTCATTATCCTCAATAGCTACCCAATAGCTCGTAAATAAACTATAGAGCTGTGCTGGTACTGGGGGGGGGGGGAGCTCACTCACCCTTGTAATCCCAGCCTCTGGGACGCAGAGAAGGAGGATTGAGTCAAGTTTCAGGACAACCTGGGCTAAATAGCAAGCTCTTGACCAAATAAAATAAAATAAAATAAATGGAGCGTGTTGGTGTACACCTTTAACTTCAGCACTGGGGAGGTTGAGGCAGTAGGATCTCAGAGTTCGAAGCCAGTCTGGTCTACAGAGAAGAGTTCTAGGATATTCAGAACCCTGTCTCAAAACAAACAAAACAAAATAAAAACTAATGGTACATAACACCATGGACTTTACAGAAGAAAGAAAAAAAACCAAAAAAACAACTAATGGTACCACTCAGAGCTTCCGATACTGAGAACAACATCGTTATTATAAGGCAAGGTCAGCACAATGGGTACACTCGGCAACTACTCTTAATTTAAAAAGAAAACGTAAATTGTATCTATTCGTAAAGAGGAAATAAATAGAGTATGCTTCTAACAGTCCTGGAGGTTTCTAGGAGGTGGTGGTCTCTGCGGAAGGGAGAGAAGTAGGAAGGAGACATTCTGGAGTATTGCACCATTTATCGGTAGTCCAGGGCTTACCTGAGCCGACGCTCCGGAGACCGACTCATCATCTTCCTCCCTCAGCTTCACGCGCCTGTTCCTGGAGGTTCCTCATTATTTCAGGGAACAGCACCAACTGGGGCAAAGCGACGCCCGAAGCCACAACGGGGTGGAGGAGTCTCGGCTTCCCGCTCTTCAGGGGACAGCACGGGGTTGAGGACAAGGCATCTCCTCAGAACGCGCTCCCGATTTCCTCCGTAGAGGAGCGGCAAAGCTTGCGAGGCGCGGGGCCTTAGGAAGAGCCGGACGCAAAGCGCCGCCTCCGCGATGGCTCTGCCCCTGCCGGCTCCCTCACTACCAACTACTCATGGGGGGGGGGGGGGGGAGCCCCGAAATCGAATTCCGCGCCTTGCGGAAATGATGCACTAGGCCCCCGGGCGGTCCCACCCCTTAATTTCCGGTTCCGGTCCGCGTGCGTGCGCGTGCGTAGGTGTTCCTAGCTCACGGTTTCTGCACGAGGCTGAGAGAGTCATGGAGGGCTCTGCGTCTGCCTCTACCCCGGCCTCAGCCGACACGCCGACCGTTCTAGAACATCTGGACAGAGAGCAGGCGAGTGATTGGGGGACAGCGGCTTGGAAGCAGGGTAGTTGGGGCCCGCGTGAGGCTTGGGTGCGGAGCGAGAGGCCTGGAAACCCAGAGCGGGCCCGAGAGTGCGTGGTCGTCCCGGAGCCCGGAGGAGGTCGCCGAAAACTCACCCCGGCGGGTTCGCTTCCCTCGGGCCCGTGGCCTGTTTGCCTCCTGTTGAAAGTGGGCAAGAGCGCTCCATTCTGCAGGGTTACAGGACGCTTGTACGTGCACATGCGAAAAGTAGCATGCTTAGGGCCGGGCGTGTGATGGCTCTGAAGTGCGCCCAGCGCTATGCTCTTTTCCTGATTGTTCCCTCTGGTGTGGGGGGGGGGGGGACGGAGAAGCTTCGGTAGAGCCTGTAAGGACACCTGTAAACAGATACCGGGAGCAGGTATTTGGGAATTCTTGATAGATTCATAAATTGCACTGAGTTCAAATTCTAAGAGCCCAATACGCTGATTGAAATTTGATCAGCCGGGCTGTGATGGTTCACGCCATTAATGCCAGCACTAGAGAGGCGGAGACAGGCGGATCTTTGTGAGTTCTAGGCCAGTCTGGTCTACAGAGTGAGTTCCAGGACAGGCTCCAAAGGAACAGAGAAAACCTGTCTCGAAAAAGAGAGAGAAATTTGACCGATAAATATAGAGTAGCAAAGGAAACAAACTTGTTTGTGTATGGGAGCAATGTTAACCTAAATTGAGAAAATTAATTTATTCTTGTGTTTCTGCAGATTGGAAAGGCAGTGGAAGTTCTGATTGCACACTCCAAGTCAAGAAAAAACAATGAGTTACTTTCGAATGGGAGTGAGAATTTATTTTTAATGGTGATATTATGGAAAATTCCAAATAAAGAACTACGGGTCCGAATGTAAGTTCTAATTTACCTGTTCAGGGTTTTTTGTGTCTTTTTGGTTTTTTTTGTTTTGTTTTGTTTGTTGTTGCTTGGCTTTTCTCCCTTCCGTTCTTTTTTATTCTCCCCCCCCCTTTTTTTAAGTGGTTTCATTACAAAGGTTTGCCTGACCCCAAACTCAGGAATAGATCTGCCTCTTGAGTGCCCAGTCTTTAAATTTTGAGATTTACTTAGAGTGTGTCTATTTCTGAGTATATGAATGTTTACCACATATCTCCAGTGCTTGCTGAGGCCAAAGGGAAGTGTCAGATCGCCTGGTACAGGAGAGACAAGAGGTTTTGAGCAGCCCAGTGTGAGTACAGGAAACTGAACTAAGACCACCTGGGAAAGCAACAAATGGTCTGAACTGCTGAGTGCCCTCGGTCCTGCTTGGGAGCCCTCTTCTCCCACCCCCACCTCTGAGTTCAAAGTCAGTCCGGTCTACAGAGCTAGTTCAAAGACAGCCAGGGATACACAGAAATCATGTCTTGAAATTAAATAAAAATATTTTTTAGGTTGCATTTATTTTGGGGCACACATGTGGAAGTCAGAGAATAAATATAATTTCTCTTCTACCGTTTTGGTCCTGGAATTGAGCTCTAAGCGTGTGTCTTTACCCACTGGTTCATCCAGCCTCCCCGTATGCATTTATATTTCTGTTAGCTATCTTGTGTCAGGTTCCTCTGGTGTAGGGTTGGCAGGTAATTGTGGTCACTCTCAAACTTTTATAAGTGTCTTATAGATTGTGTTTTGCTTGTTCTTTTTATCAAAGCAGTATGTAGTATAGCTTGTTTTTCTCCAAAAATATAATGGCTTGGGGAGGTTTAGAGGGGAAAAACACTTCTGATTTCCCAATGGGTGTGGGTATGTGTGTGTGCGCGCGCACGCAAGCCGGGGGAACCTGAAGAGGATCCGATTCCCTGGAACTTAAGTTCCAGATGATGTAAACTGCTATATGGGTGCTGGGAACCAAACATGAGTCCTCTGAAAGAGCAGCCAGTGCTCTCAAATGCTGGTCCAGTCCCACTTCACTTTAATATATATGTCTGTAAACACATATGTTTATGTATGTATGTACACACATGTGAAAACACAAGTTGGGGTATGTAAGCACATGAGTATGGATGCCAGAGGACATTCTTGGGTGTCTTCCTTGGGAATGCTATCCACCCCTTTTTAGGCAGGTCTCATTTGCTTAGAGCTCATCACCTAGGGTTTACCACTGAATCCTGCGGATCCTCGTGTATACACCTTCCTCTGAGATAGTTCATGCTCATCACCACCCTTCTCTTTGACGTAGGTTCAGGAGATGAGCACAGATCCTTGTTTGTACAGTGAGTGCTTTAAGCTGTCTCCCTGGGGGATGGAGCGTGATTCTTTCCTGTGCTGCGGGACTGCTCTACAGTGAGCGATACTCCCAGCCCTCTGCATGCTTCATTCCCATATCTTCAGTTTTTCACTTGTGGGACATCCTTTTTTCTTTTTCTATTCCTCCCCCACCTATCTTAATTGATTGATTTATTCTGTTTTTGGTGTGTGTGTTTTCTGGTCTGGCCTGGAACTTTTCACATTCCTTCCTCGTCTTAAAACTGGAATTGTCAGCATACCTAACTTGCTTTCATTCAGACCAGTATTTACTTAAGTAGAAAATAAATCAAGCCAGGTGGTGGTGGCGCATGCCTTTAATCCCTGCACTCGGGAGACAGAGGCAGGCAGACCTCTGTGAATTCGGGGCCAGCCTGGTCTACAAGAGCTAGTTCCAGGACAGACTCTAAAGCTATAGAGAAACTCTGTCTCGAAAAACCAAAAAGAAAGAAAATAAATCAAAGTGTAAGTAAACGGGGCTGACAGGATGGTTCAGGTAAATATGCTTGCCCCCCAGTCCAAGTGACCTGAGTTCAAATCTCTTGGCACACATGGTGGAAGGAGAAAACCGGTTCCCAAAAGTTGTCCTCTGAACCCACATGTATGCCATGGTACACCCACAAAAATTTTTTAGGTGAGAGTGTGTTTTGGATAATACTTTTTCTGAGTAATGCTTTGCTCTTTGTGTTTTGTCGTGGTTTTACAGGTCTTTGCCTCATAGTATTCTATCAGATTCATCAGAAGTCTGTTTGTTTACCAAAGATCACTGTGAGTCACCTGAACAGACTGAATGTTTTTATAGAACACTTTTGAAAAAACATGGCGTGAACAGCATCTCTCGGGTAGGAATCATGTTGCTAATTGAAATGAAATACGATACACTGCTATATTTTTTTTAGATCTATTTTTCTCTTTAGTTTTTCTTTATGGGTATATGTCCCTAAGCCTATGTACAGTGTGGATACAGGTGTACTTGGAGGCTTTCCAATTTCTTGGAGCTGGAGTTGCAAGCGATTGTGAGTTGCCTGATGGATACTGAGAAATAAAACCCAGGTCCTTCAAAAGAGCAACAAATGCTCTTAACTGCTGAGCCATCTCTCCAGCCCGTTTTTCTCTTTGTAATATAATTGTCGTGGTTTTGGTTGGCTGTATTTTATTTTACTGGTGGGGAAGGTGTTATTCTGATTTGTGACTGAAAAGCAAAATGTATGTCAGATTTTATATTTTGATTGTCTAAGGAGTCTTGCGGGGATATGGGGTTCTCTAGAATTAGAGTTGAAGGCTGTTTCCACAGGTGGCTGTCAGAGCTCTGAGCCATCTATAGCCCCATCACAGATGATTTAGGAACTTAATTGTTGTGTTAGTTCCTCTGTACTTGCAGAGCATCATGTGTCTGCCTCTGACTTTTGTGACTAGTTGTGTATTTTATTATTCTCTAATTTTTTTTTAATTTCTCCTCGTACTAGGAATTGAATCCAGAGCCTTACATATGCTAGCCTAATGCTCTACCCCAAACTTGCAGTGTAGATCAGTCTGGCCTCCAACATAGAGGTTTCTTTCATTTGTGAAATTAAATTACCCCAGGCATGGATTAAAAGTGTGCACTAGGTGCTGCCTCTCCACCCCCAAATCTAAAACATTTGATTTTTAAAAACATGCCTGGGTGTTTTGTCAGTGTGTGTCTGTGCGCCTGATAGGTACAGGAACCCATGAAGGCCAAAACAGAGTCTTGGATTCCCTTGAGCTAGAAGGGGGTGCACTTGGCTGTTAGCCACTATGTGGGTACTAAATCAAACACAGGTCCTCTATAAGAGCAGCCAGTGCACTTAACCTCTAAGCCATCTCTATCAAAAAAAATTTCCTGTTTTACTTTGTTTTGAGATAGCATCTTCCTCAGTTGCCTTGGGCTAACCTCAAAGTTAGCATTCTCCAATCTGAGACTCAAAAAAAAAAAAATCAGGGGTTTTGTCCTGGGTTCTTAATTATTCTTCTCAGTGTCCCCAACAGATGGCACAGTGCTTGGCAAATTTTAGATGCTCAGGAATTCATTAAACTGAGAAGGGTATGAGTCTAGGACTAACCTGAATGGGAAGCATTAAAGATTTCTTCTCTTGGGGGCTGGAGAGATGGCTCAGAGGTTAGGAGCGCTGCCTGTTCTTCCAGAGATCCTGAGTTCATATCCCAGCAACCACATGGTGTCTCACAACCATCTATAATGAAGTCTGGTGCCCTTTTCTGGTCTGGTGGCAGACATGCATACAGAACACTGTATACATAATAAATAAATAAATCTTTAAAAAAAAAGATTTCTTCTCTTGTGTCAGGTTCTTAAGGTTTTTGATTTTGCTTTTGTTTCTGTTTTCTAGATTATCCCTTTTAGAACTTTAAAAACAGAATATAAAGCCTATGAAGCCAAACTCCGCCTCCTGGGTAGCTTTGACATCTTCATTACTGATGAAAGAATTAGACGGCATTTGCCTACACACATAGGAAGACACTTCTATCAAAGGAAGAAGTAAGTTTATTTGCAATGACTGGGCTTCAGTGGTAGGAGTTTTTATGTGTGTGGTGTTCTGATATCTGTGTATTTTCAGAGTTCCAGTATCTGTAAACCTTCTGGCCAAGAATCTGTCCAAAGAGATTAAGAGCTGTATCACAGGGACCGTCTTAAACATCTCCAAACATGGTTCTTGCAGGTAACAAGAGGAACATCTATGCGAACCTTTAAACTTTACATGTTATGGTAATCACATTCATTCTTTTTCTTTAAGAGCGGTATTAAGGAAACCAGATCCTTCTATTAAAACCCTAAGAAACCAGATGGTGGTAGTGTATACACCTTTCGGTAGATCTCTGAGTTCGAGGCCATCCTAAAATACAAAGCAAGTTCCAGGACAGCTAATCTCTGTGAGTTCAAGGCCAGCCTGTCTACAGAAGTAGGTTCCTGGACAGAATACAAAGCTACAGAGATATTTATCTTGAATAAACAACAACTAAAATATGGTCTTCTGGGGAAATTTTTCTTAGAAGTGATTTTAGTCCCCTATTAACAAGTTCGTGGTCGTTGTGATCTGGTTTTCCTATGTGTTCACCCCAGTAGGATACCAGCTGCAGACCAAATGCTTCTCTAGGTATGTGATGTTAGTCAGAGAAGCACATCTGACTAAAGCAGCTAAGTCACTGAAGGCCGTGTACCACTGAAGTTCTCTGTTCAGCTATAGGCAACTCAGTGCATAGCCTTGGGGAAAAGCCTCTTTAGTGTTGTCCCTGTGTAGACAACTGATGTCCCTGCTGATATCCCCTTTTTCTGAGTCATGTTTCAGCTGGGAGGAAGGAGCTACATACTTATCCCTTAGGTTCACTCTCACCCAGGGTCCTGAACTATTTGCAGCCTTACATCTAGACTAAAGGAAAGACCTTTGGTTCCTTGAACAAGATGGTTCAAGTTTAAGGCTGGCGACTTGTATTTCATCCCCAGGACCCACATGGTAGGAGAGAATCAATACCTGCATGTGTCTTCTGACCTCCACATACCGTGAGACAGACACCAACATTCACACAACACACACACACACACACACACACACAAACTCAGGTACGGTTCCCAGCACACATGTTAGATGTGCCTTACCTGTAATTCTACCTCTTGGTTTAGTGCCTATGAATTAAAAGCTTATGTGCACAGACTCAAACATACATACGTATAATTTAAAATAAAAGGCATGGTAGCACATTCCTTTAATCCTAGCATTGGCAAGGCAGAAGCAGATAAATCTCTGAGTCAGAGACAAACTTGGTCTACATAAAGAATTTCAAATCAGCTAGAGCTGATTGAAAACCTATCTCAAAATAAATTTTAAAAGGCTTTTAGATAGGGCTGGAGAGATGGCTCAGAGGTTAAGCTTACTGGCTGCTCTTCCAGAGGCTCTGAGTTTAATTCCCAGCAACCGCATGGTGACTCCCAACCATCTGTAAAGAGATCTGGTGCCCTCTTCTGGCCTGCAGGCACACATGGAGGCTGAACACTGTACATAATAAATAATTTTTTTTAAAAAAACTTTTATATGATGTGATGAGATGCCTCTGTTCTTTTGATGCGGGGTTTCACTGTATGATTCTAGCTAGCCTGGAACTCAGAGATACTCTGGCATCTCCACTGAATGTTAGGATTAAAAGCATGTCCCCACAGACACACCCAAAAACGTGTGCTATTATGCCCAGTAAGGATATGATTGCCTTTCAGCCTTATATTCATTGATGGTGTCAGTGTGTGCCTCCTACTTGTAAAAGGGAAGCACCCCTGATTGGTTTCAGTTAAGTAAGAAGAGTTGTCATTGGGCTTGACCTCCTGTGACTTTCTTTGTCATAGACTGATGTCAGGGAGCCACAAAGGTTGGAGTATAATGACTCACATGGTCCTAACATGGGAGAAGCTAAGTCAAGAGGCCTCTGGTTTGAGGGAAACCTGTGTGGCATAGTGATTCTGTGTTTCTTTCATTACTTGTGTTCTCTTTGCCTGGCACAATGGCTTCCTGTCTTCTCTCTCGCCCTGCTGTTCGCCACAAACAGCTCTGTGTATGCATGTACATACAGAGTAGACAGCTAGCCAGTGGCTGACTGAGAAGAGGAGCTAGACAACTGCTGTGCAGTTGACACTTCCCAAACTGCCCCACAGTGACCCGCTAGTGGTGGGCCCCTGCTACAGGAAACCTCCTGGGCTTCCCGTTCTGCATTGCCTATTCCTTGACCTTTGATAAAGTATGCTGTCTGTAAGATGTCGGAACTCTACTTGTGAAGGATCCATCTGAATGGCTATGGAACTATGAGGTAGCAATGACCCTTAAGAGATTCTGCTCAGAACAGCTTTAGGGACCACTGTTGTGGGTGTCGGGGCAGTTTCTGGGGTCAGTTCTATATGCACTGAGTTTACACTCAGCCTCCGTGACTTTGGTTCAGGCTGTCAGGCTTGTGTGTCAAGTTTCTTTACTGGCTGAGCCATTTCATGGTTCAGCCTGTGTTTCTTCAGCATGGTGGTGTTCTACTTTAGGCAATAGAGTTCTAAAATACAAAACTTACGAATCTATTTATTAAATTCTAGTTCTGTGCGTGTTGGTCACACTGGAATGAAGCCTCAGCACATCATTGAAAACATCCTGGCTGTCTCAGAAATGCTTTCAGCAAAACTGCCAGAGGTACAGTATGGCAAGTGCTTGAGTCGTGACGTTTGAGGGAAGCAGCAGTGTATGTGTGGATAACATTATTTCTTTGTTTCAGAAATGGCAGAGTGTGAAACTCTTGTTCCTAAAAACTGAGAAGTCGGCTTCCCTTCCCATCTTTTCCTCATTTGTCACATGCCAGGATGAAAACAACATCATGTCCTTCAGTAGCCTGAGGAAAAAGGTTAGTATAAGTTAGAATATGGGGTGGGGGTGGGCATAATGATCAAAGTGTAGGCCAGGTGATAGGGCACACCTTTAATCGCAGCACTGAGGAGAGAGATGTTACATGAAGGGGGGGGTCCCTTGTTTGTCCCGGCCACCGGCTTGCTTAGCCCCAAAATAACCACACAAAAACTTATTTATTAAAACACTGCTTGGCCATTAGCTCTAACTTCTTATTGACTAACTCTTACATCTTGATTTAACCTGTTTCTATTAATCTGTGTATTGCTACGTTGCTGTGGCTCCATGACATTTCTCTAACTTCGTCTTCCTCCTCCCATGCTATAAAGGCAGTTTTTTTATTCATTAACCAATAAAAGCAACCCGTAGACAGAAGGACCTCCCACACCAGGGAGCGTGGGAGCATGCAGACAGACATGGTGCTAGAGGAGTTGAGAAGAGAGAGACACTGGGTCTGGCTTGGTTTTTGAAGCCAGTGGTAATTTTCCTCCAACAAGGCCCTGTGTTCTAAACCTATGTGTTCATATAGTGCCATGCTGTAATGACAGATCCTATAGGGCCATTCTTATTCAAAAACAAATTTCATTCCTTTTTAAATTGCTGTTGTGAGATACTTGATCACACTTTGAGCCCTGAAATTTTATTTGCGTTAACTAAATCAAATCAGCCTTGAGTCAGTAGGCCAAATTAGCAACCAGTTGATGGAAAGTCATCCTAGAGTGTCTGTAAGACAGTAGAGATAAGCACAGGAAGTAATAGGGAAGGACTTGGTGGAGTGGAAGTACACTCGGAGATGCCAGCAAGGAGAGGTCAGCTAATGGCTACTCAACCTCTCTGAGCTAGTAGGTTTTCACCCCAGCCTTTGACTCCCAAGGCTTGCTGATAAACAGAACAGTAGAGATTAATTAAAACCTCTATTTGGCAGCAGTGACCTAGCTGACAGACCTGAACGGCTGGGCACTCCTAGAGGAGCAGCGGGTGAAAGGGCGGCCTCTGCGAGCTGAGGCTAACAGTGTCCTTGTTTCTTGGAGTATGCTTACAGGTCATCCTAGTTGGGTTTTGGTTTTTGGATTTTTTTCCAGTTTATCTTTGGTTTTGCTTTATTTAGGGGTTCTCCCCCCCACCCCTTGGTTTTTCAAGTCAGGGTTTCTCTGTTCCTTTAGAGTCTGTCCTGGAACTTGCTCTGTAGACCAGGCTGGCCTAGAACACACTAAGATCTGCCAGTCTCTGCTTCCTGACTCTAGGATTTAAATAAAGCATGAGCTTCTGACTGTTTAGAATTTTTTATTTTATATATTTGAATTATGTTCTGAGTATTCTGCATCCGGGGTTGGGGGGCAAGAAAGTCAGAGGAGGGCATTAGATTTCCCAGGAAATATTCTCCAAAGTTATTGTGAGCCACCATGTTGATTATGGGAATCCAGCCAGGTCTTCTTCAAGAACAAATGTTCTTAACCACTGAGCCATCTCTCCAACCACCTTTTGTTTTTTTGAGACAAAGATTTCTATCACCACCATGCATCTAAAATTTTATTTACTTGTTTATTACTTGTTTGGGTTTTTTTAGACAGGGTCTCAGCATGTATACCAGACAGACCTTGAACTCACAGAGATCCATCTGCAACTTAGAAGCACAATTTAACAATGTAAAGAGCAAGCCTTTTGATACTGCAGCTGCTTGTCTCTACCCATAGTCAGCTAACACTAAAATCACGGTGACAAGTTACCTCACCCCTGCTGTGACCACTCTGCTACATGCTATAGCACTCCCAACCTGGTGACCTGTGGGATTTGTGAAGAGCTGGTGCTGGTAGCAGCAGCTGGGTGGATCAACTCTGCAGATAATCTTCCTTCGTCCTTCCGAGTGCTCTTTATTATCTGCGCTGCTACTGGAATATACTGCTTCAATTTAGGAGGGTCTTCCCATACCCATTTAAAGCAGAGGCAAGAGGATCTCTGAGTTTGAGGCCAGCCTGGTCTATATAGTGAGTTCCAGGACAGTCGGAGCTACACAGAGTAACCCTGTCTTGGAAAAAAACAAAGATAAACAGTTAAAGGTACAGGAGTGATCTGCAGGAACCTTGAAAGTACTTTAAATCCAGCCACCTAAAGCATATTAAACACTGGAGGCTCAAGGCCGGGGAGATGACTCCATTGGTGAAAGTGTTTGCCATGCAAACATGGTATCTGAGTGTGACCCAGTTCTGGGGTGGTGGAGAAAAATGGATCCCTGGGCCTCTGGCCAGTCAGCCTAGCATAACCTAATCATCAAACCCCATATCCCAATAAGAGACCCTGTCTTAAGAAAGCGGGTGGCTCCTAAAGAGCCTCAGTTGACCTATGCTATACACATACACACTTACACAAAAGACGGGTAGGTCAGTAATGATTCAAACCAAACCAGGGCTTAAGTGGGGATGGGTTTTCCTTTTTTGTTGTTGTTTTGTTGTGGTGAGTTTTTTTGTGGGGAGGGTTGTCTTTTGGAGACAGGGTTTCCTTGTGGCTTTGGAGCCTGTCCTGGAACTAGCTCTTGTAGACCAGGCTGGCCTCGAACTCACAGAGATCCGCCTGCCTTGCCTCCTAAGTGCTGGGATGAAAGGCGTGCACCACCACTGCCCGGTGGGTTCTGCTTCCTTAATGTAGGTACAAGGGTTTAATTTCTTTCTCTTACCTTCCACCTCTCAGTCGCATGCCTACAATCTGGTGATGGGTACTGAACTGTTGAGCCCTTGCAGGGCCTTGTGTATAATAAGCATGTACCGTAGTGCTAAACTAAATCCCCAATTCTTTCTTTTTGTTTGAGGCAGAATAGATCAAATTGGCCTTTGAGTTTGCCATCCTCCTGTCACAGCCTCCAGCTAGCTAGGGGTGCAAGCGTGTACTAACATTCTGATGTTACTTCACCTACCATCTGTGTAGTGGGTGGGTGTCCAGCTAAGAGTCAGGTAGACAGCCGGTTGTGGTAGGGAGTGTCGGTAATTTATCTTGTGGCCGGTAGGTAGGAGAGATGCAAAGCCAACCAGCTTGGGTACACATGGAAACACCTGTCAGCCCACAAACAAGTAAAGCTGAGTTTTAAGTGCTTGGTCAAGGATGCTTTAGGGAGTTTATGAATAATCAGAACTGTAGCTTCTCAATCTGTTTTCTCTGGGTGTTTTTCCTGCTCATCTTTTATCTGGTGTTTTGGTAGGTACTAAAAAAAAGAATGAATTATGAAAAAGAAAAGTCAAAGAAGAAAAACAAAACGTTAAGGAAAAGCTCCAAAAAGGCTGGATCTCAAGGTAAAACTAGAAGTGCCCCAAGATCCCAGAAGAAAAAGACCAGCAAAGTAAAAACACAACCTGAAGGGACAGACGAGTGTGAAGAAGCAATCCCACAGCTGGTCCCAATAGGAGAAACACCGAATAAAGAAAACCTGAAGGTATTTTTATTACCGTTGATAGTTGTTGTGTATCAGGCAAGCAGGGTAAGTGATGGGAGTTTAGTTTTCAGGCTGTAGGAAGACAGGTGCTGATTGACTTTGTCCTGAGTAATAAAAGGCCTGTTACTCTATGGCAGTTCTTCTAGAAGTGTAACTCACATGTGCGGGTATTCATTGTAGCGGCTCCATAAAGTGGGCAATCCAAACACGTAAGCACAGGATGTGTCTGCTTCCAGCATAGTACAACATACTGGTGTGAAGTTCTTGGTTTTGAGACAAGGTTTTGCTGTGTTTTTAGCCTGGGCTTTCCTCCAAAGTGTTAGGATTGCTGTCACCGTTCCAGTCAGCCTTTATTTGTTATTTTTAATAAAAGGAAAATAAAAGTAGGGATATATTCTAAAATAAAAACTGACTCGGCATTGGTGACGCAGGCCTTTAATCCCAGCAATCAGATGCAGAGGCAGGCAGATCTCTTGAGTTTGAGGCCAGCCCTGGTCTACAAATTGAGTTCCAGAACTGTTTTGCAGAAAAACCCTATCTCTTTTTTTTTGAGTTTTTTTGTTGTTGTTGTTGTTGTTGTTTTTAAAGTTATGTGCCAGGCTGAAGTAGGAGCTGAACCCAGCCTGGATTACAAAATGAGTTCCAGCCAGGTGAGACCCTGCCTCAGAAAGAAAAAGACAGAAGACAAGTACCTGATGATAGAAAAGGCCGAGGTTACACTTTGAAGTTATAGTCAGAATTGTGGCTCCTTAAGTTTGATTGTGAAGTCTTGGTCCTTGTTGTTCTAAACTTAATTTTCTTTCCTGTTTTTCTTTTTAAGATGCAAGAAAATATCACAGGGGAAAAGTCTCCAAAAAAGAAACCTGATACAAACACACATCAGGGAAAGAAAAGGAAGGCCCTACCAGCTACAGAGACCCCAGAAGCTTCAGGGCCTGAGACCACAGGAAAGAAGCCAAGAAGTATGCCAGAAACCAGAAAGTCAAAGGCCAAGTTCTTTAAATCCAGGAAATCTTCCAACGCGCCCAAAGACAAAAAAACCCAAGTAGCTCACTCAAACTAAAATCAGGTTTCTCAGTCTGAAGGAACTATCAGAGTTAACTGAACTCAAGAATACGTAGGCAGGGAGGGTGTGGGACACAGAGGTAGGCAGATCTGTGTGGGTTGAAGGCTGACTTAGTTGTCTACCTAGGGAGTTTAGGCTCTCAGAGCTACATAGTGAGACGGGTGTGCACTGCTGCATTAACATTCAAGAAGCCGAGGCCAGTGGCATGAGCTTGAGGGAAGCATCGAGTTTGGCAAAAATCTGTCTTTAAAGACCAAACTTCAGTCCTAGACTTGGTGGTTATAACACTTTGCTAGCATATGCAAGGTCCTTGCTTCAGTACCCAGAACTGTTAAAAAAAAAATCACACACCTGCACATAACAAAATGTACTCTTTGTCCTGACCCCATGCAGTCTTTTTCTACAATGCAAGAGTCCTAGATTTAATGTTTTTGTAAAATTTCCAGGGGTGATTCTGAATTAATGTTTCTATTTGTAAAAGACTAGGGATTTGAGGCAAAAGCATCTATTTTTGTTGTTCAGTATATTTGTTGATAAGAGTTCTTCGGGGTGTTGTGTTTGAATAAAGGTATGGCATCTGCTTCTGGGAAATGGTCCTGTGCTGTGATGTTTTGCATCTCACCTGACTAATTTGAAGACATGTAGCTGCGGCTTCCCATCTGAATGGGATAATTTAATCACTTGAACTGCTAAACTAGCTTGTGCAAATATTCTAAGTAGCCAGTTAGGGGATTGATAGGTAATGATTCAGGTTAGGAGTACTTCTCTTCAGAGGACCCAGGTTCACTTCCCAGCAGCCTCACAGAGGCCCACGGCTCTAACTCCAGCTCCAGGGATCTGAGGCCTTCTGGCCCCAGTCACCAGCCCAGCAATGATGTACAGATGTATATATATGCAGACAAAACACCCAAACATAAAAAAAATTGAAAAATCAACTACAAAATGGAACTGAGAGGTTTCTTGTGGGCTCCAGATGGTCGCTGGATTAATTTTGATAATGAGCTAGCACATAAGTTAAAGGGTATTCTGGAGGACCTTTGCATAGTACTTTGGTTTTAATCTCGGGAGTTGAAGGCAGGGAACTAGTCTTGTTTCATCGGAGATGCTTTTAAAAGAATATAAATGCAGAGTTAAAGCTCTCAATTCCCATTTGACAAAGTTTCTGGTTAATAGGAACAAAACTCAGTGGTAGAATGATTAGCGTACCTGATGTTTTATTTTAAAATGGTCAGTTAAATACAACCTGTGATTACACACACCTGTAGCGTTTTAGTTAAATACAATCTTCTGTGACTATACACACCTGTAGACCCAGCATAGTTGCAAAATTGGAAGCTGTCAGATGACTCCTGTTTTCAGGCCTGGGAAATGCTGGGGTGGGTGTGTGAGCTACAAATCGTCCATGCTTAGTAATAACAGTTTGGGCTGGGAGCACTGATGCAAGCATTTAATTCCTGCACTCAGAAAGTGGAGGGAGGAGGGTTTCTGAGTTACAGGACAGCCAGCCAGGACTATATGGTGAAACCCTGTCTTAAAAACAAGAAAAAAGTGAAAATTGTAACATCTTTACCAAATTCTCAGCAGGTGAAGACTCAGCATACTAGCCATCAGTTCAAAACCTCTTCCAATTTTGGCATTACCTTTTACATAGGATAGTCCAGTGAGGACTCTTATCTGTGCACTCCTTGTTAGGACTTTCTTCAGAATAATTGAGGTATTCACCTAGGTGAAGAAAATACTGTGTTGCATGGGCCCCACTCTCCACACCATGAGTGTCCATGTTGCTTCAATTCTGCAATCAAGGGCCTAATGCATAAAAACAAGCCCAGCCATGCTGACTCTTCACTGAAGGACCCTTCCTCTTGAACGTCCTCACTGCTTTGGAAGAAAATTTCTAGCATATGTTGAATGATTTGAAAGCTACTGTTGGACCAGGTGAGAAAAGTCATTTCTTTCCTAGAACTAACTGCTAGTGTTCCCCGAAGGTCTTTGAAGGTACAGCTTCACAGCTTTCTGCATCTATGGCTGCTAAGTTCCCGCTGACGGGAACGTCTGCACAGGGAGAGGGTCTTAGCAGACATGCCCATGGGAACTTAGACTCTCCCTGTGCAACAAACGGCTGTTTGTCTGAAAATACTAAGATTCTGGATTTGGGGACTGAAGAGAGGGTCTTAACAGCGGTTAAGAACACTTGTTCTTGTAGAGGACCCAGGTTATATTCCCAGCATCCACATGACTGCTCACAACACAACCTTCCCTAACTCACCAAGTCTAGGGGTTCTGATCTTCTGAACTCTGAGGCCACCAAGCATGCACCAAGTGTACAAAGGATACACAAACAGCAAAACACTTGTATATAAGACTTTAAAAAAAAAAAACAAAAAAACACTTTTTATTTATTTATTTATTTGGCTTGGGTTTTCGGAGACAGGGTTTCTCTGTGCAATGGCTCTAGCTGTCCTGGAACTAGCTTTGTAAACCAGACTAGCCTAAAACTCATATCTGCCTGCATCTGCCTCCCAAGTACTAGGCTTAAAGGTGTATCACCTAGGTTATTTTTTCGTGGGTTTTCTATTTTCCCTTTCTTCCTTTTTCCCTCTCTCCTCTCTCTCCTTTCTCTCTCTCTCTCTCTCTCTCTCTCTCTCTCTCTCTCTCTCTCTCTCTCTCTTTTGGTGTTGTTTAGAGGGGTTTTGTTTTTGCTTTTCGTTGGTTTTGTTTGCTTGCTATGAGAAAGTGTTTCACCATGTACTGATTCTGGCCTGGAATTCAGCTTCCAAGTTCTAGGATTACAGGCACATGACACCTCATCAGTCTAGTCCACACCCATCTTTGAATTTTATTTCTTGTATTAAGTATAACAAGACACAGCTGGGTGGGTGCACACCTTTCTCCCAGCACTTGGAAGGCCGAGGCAGGCAGATCTCTGTGAGTTCAAGACCAAACTGGTCTACAAATGAGTTCCAGGAAAGGCTCCAAAACTACACAGAGAAACCCTGTCCCAGGGGAGGGGAAAAAAAAACACTTGAGGAAGAGGCAATGCTCCGTTCTTACTAGCCTTTCCAGAGTCTTGAATGACCTGCTACCATCTTTAACAATAGCTTTTTTTTTTTTTCCCATGAGATGGGATCTCATCATGCAGCTCTGGCTGTCCTGAAAATTCACCCACTTTTGCTTCAGGAGTAGAGAGATGAAAGGCATGTGCCAACACCTGGCTATGTGGGATCTTTTATTACCACCGAGAACCACAGTGGATCTGTGGGTGTAGCTCAGGAGTAGAGGGCTTCCCTACCACGCGTGAAGCCATTACTTATGTGTGCACCCCACCATCCCACCCGCGTCACTGTAAGAAGTGTTAAACTAGCTTGTGCTTCGAGACAGTTTCTACATAGCCTTGGCTGTCCTGGTACTTGCTGGGAATTCTGAATCTTCCTACCTCAGCCTCCCAAGTGCTGGCTTATGAACACCCCAACCAGGCAGCTCTCCATAACTTTGGGCTGTTTCTCACTGTAATCTCCCCCTCAATCACTGCAGGAAAATAACCACAGTGTACCAACCTCTTCAAATGGATGCGATTAGCAGTCTTCTGCCAAGGGGGAAGCCTGTCTGCTGTCTGTCCTTGAAATGTTCCTGGTGGCAGGCACTAGTCTTCATCATGGGAGTACTGACTCTGACTCTGGGCCTCATTCTCATCGTCTACAGCTCCTCCCATCGAGTGGCTTTCTCTGTTGGAATATGCATGACAGTTGCAAGCTTTATTTTCATTGTACTCACTCGTGTGCAAGTTTTGCCTAACAATGAGAATTTGACAGAAGAACCAGAGTTAGGAAGCAGGTCAGAAAGTTCCTTATACACCTCCCAGACTTCAGTGTTGGCCAGCACCAGAGTGTAACTCTACATTGAACTTATAAAGGTCCCCTGAACCTTTAAATCTGAACATTAAAAATACAAATAAAAATTGCCTTTTAGTAGCCTGTCTCCTAATAAAGCACTAAAGCAAGAATACCCAAAGGTAAAAGCCTTCTGTCTCATTTTGTTCCTGTTCTCTGTGGGACAATAGATTTTTTTCTGAGGAAGCAGTGATTTTTCTACATTCGTGCCATGGGCCCGAATCGTCAGTAGTTGACTCTCTACTCTGTCTCTGTCTCTCTGCCCAGTGAAGGCCTAGCTCTTCCTGGCTCTTTACCTTGACTCCTGCAACTTTAAGCATATGCAAAAGCATATACCCAGACAACTCACTCAAGATTGGCACCTTCTCTATATAAATACAGTCCTGGGCTGGCAAGATGCCTAAACCTGAAATTGACGCCCCCAGGAGTCACATGGTAGAAGGAGAAAACCAACCCCCGCTGTCTGACCACACCCATACCAGTGCCATGTCCCTATATACATAGAAATGGTTTGTTTTGTTTTAATCCTATCCAGTTCTTAGCTATTTCTTCCCATTGGGATCCACTTCCATAGTGTTGTGTATCCTGAGACAAATCTACAGAATGTAAGAGTATTCCACCCCCACACTCTTAGAATCCAGCCTCTGTTGCCCTCATCTTTGTCCATGCCCTCAATCAATCTGTTTCTGTTGTGACAGGGTTATCCAGCCCCTTCTCTTCCCCAACTTTTGTTCACTTTTGTCTGTTACCACAGGGGATCTCCCCTAAAACTACTACAGCGCCCTTGCTGGACAGTGGGGCTTTGTTTTGTTTTTGTATGTGAGTCTTGTGGTTTTGGTTTCTCAAGCAGGGTTTCTCAGTAGTTCCTGATTGTTCTGGAACTCACTATGTAGACCAGGTTGGCCTTGAACCCAAAGATCTGTCTGCCTCTGCCTCTGGAGTGCTAGGTTCAAAGACTTGCACCGCCACCACCTGGCTCCAAACAGATTTTTATACAGAGGGCATCACAGCTCAGCAATCCAAAGTGTATTTTCCCGCTCACTATAAAGCATGGTTCCCCGCCTGTCAGTGCTTTACCAAAGTGCAGATTTCCCACTCTCCAGTGTGCAGGTGCACTCACTGGGTGGGAGCAGCAAGTGCCAGCCTCTCTCACCCCCCACGACGTTCGTCTGAAAATGGAGTGTGCACATTTGGAGAAGAGTGTCAGTGTGCCCACATGCCAGCACAGGAAGAATCCCGTACGGATTCCCACACTCTTTAGAGCTTTTGAGGGCACCAAGTTATCACTCTTGAAAAAAATGACTATCTTAATGACTGAAGAATATAAAATTTGGCTGGCACGGCATAAGAACTGGACATGGTGGTGCAGTCCAGTAATCCCAGCACTTGGGAGACTGAAGCAGTAGGCTGAGAGATCAGATCATCCTTGACTTTGTAGCAAGTTTGATGTTAACTTGGGATGCATAAGGCCCTGTCTCAACAATGGAGGGGGAGGGGCTGGAGAGAAGGCTCAGCTGTTAGCTCTACTGCTCTTCCAAAGGACCTGTGTTCAGTCTTCAACACCCGTGCCATGTGAACCAGAGCCTACCACACCCATCATGTCTCCAGAGATGGACCTTACTGGGGAATGGAGGAAATACAGAAAAGACCTAGACACATGGGAAAGGTAGGATCAGGTGGTCGGAGCTCTCTGATGGAGGAACC